GCATAGTTCGATCATGTTCTTTTCCCAACTATTTGTCAGTTTCTAATTGTTTACAGAATATACTACTAATCCAACTTCATTTAGTATATATACGGCCGAAGCGAGTACAGAACATACTACTACTATCAATCACTAATTAATTGATATAATCGTGTATAAGTTTGTATGATTGATATTTTATCGACTTTTAAACAGAAAAATAAATCAGTAAGGGGTTGTGGAGATTCTTATGTTTTTGATTCAGATCATGAACCGATTGATATTAAACCACTATTGGAAACCTGGAAGCACTGGACGTCCGTTTCGTCCTATTGTGGGACTCCTTAACAATGTGTACCCGTGATCCCGCCTCGCGAGATTCAAACCCATTAACACCGTTGGATGCCGGGTCAATGGTCTAGAGATAAAGCGTTCGTATGCGAGACCGAAGGCCCTGGGTTCGAGTCCCGCGAATGGGATTGTGGGTTTGCATTTCTGAGGAGTCCCATAATAGGACGAAACGGCTTTCCAGTGCTCCCAGGTTTACAACGGTGGTCTAACATCAACCGGTTCATTATTTCAATAAAAAAAATGCGTTTCAGATGTGTTTATTCTAATATTTTAAGTGTATTGATACTAGTCAGTAGTATTAAGCAGTAGTATGAGGAGATCATAGTTAGAATCAAACACTAACATGTATCAAAGTACCAATTAACATTGATTTGGTAGTTCACAGTGTAATATATTCATACCAGAAATCTGAAAGTCATTAGAGTTCCATTATGTATGTGTATTCATGAAAATCAGTCATTGGATTAGGTTTAAACTAATGATTAGAAAGTATTTTGCTTTTAATAATTAAATCAAATATCAGTATTTTCTTTATTAATCCTGATTAACATTTGTGTAAAGTGTTTAGTTTATTATTAGGATTTCTCAGCACTATAGTGAGACAGGATATGAAGGTTTCCCAGTGAACATTGAATCTACCTACCTACCTACCAGTGATCCCCTATGTAATAGTTTACATTTCTAAATGTAATCAATGAACGTCAGTGTGCAACAACTATCTACTACAATTAGCTATATTAATTAAATACTTTACATGTTTAAATTCAAATGGTCACTATTTCGCATTAAAAGTCCAAGAACTTCTTCTTGAAATGATACACTAGTAATCATATGATTGTTAACAAAAGATGTCTTAGTATATTGTATATCACAGTCAGTGTTATACAGTATGAACTGAAAAATCTCTTCAAATTTCCAAGACTAGGTATACTCAATTTATGAAGCCTTTCATGTAATATTCAGTAGTATCTTAATGAATATATGAAAATATTAAAGCAATTAAAACGGTTTATGTGTCAATGATAACAATGGAATAGATTACACAGTTAAATGGAATAAGTGAAAAGTATGAATTAATTGTGTAATTATCAGTATAGGATTGTGGAGATTTGTTGAATTTTACTTGAGATCATGAATCGACCGACGTTAGTACCACCACTGAAAACCTAGAAGTGAGACGTTCACCAAATGCAACCAATTAGTGAGTAAAAGGTTTGATTGTACACTTAACACAGCTTTTCCCACAGACACAGTTTAATTCATAGATGTACATGAATGTGACAACTTCCTATCATGAAACATTGAGTCAACTCTTTATTAGTCTGATCATAAATAGTATACCTTTCATCACACTATTAATTCATACTTATCGCTCATCACATTTAACTGTGTAATCTATTCCATTGTTAACAAGGTCTCATAAACCGCTTTATTTGGTTTCATATTTTCATATATGCGTTAAAATATTACTGAATATTAAAAGGAAACCTGATGATGGTCTTAATGAATTAGTTATATTGGCTGAGGTTAGACATTAACACCACTGAACGCCGGCTCAGTGGTCTAGTAGGTTAAGCGTTCGCGCGCGAGACTAAAGGCCCTGGGTTCGAATACCGCGAGCGGGGTCTCGGATGCGCACTGCTGAGAAGTCCCATGATGGGACGAAACGGCCGTCCAGTGCTTCTAGGTTTTCAATGGCGATCTAACATCAATCGGTTCATGATCTCAATAAATGAAAGCAGTATTGTTCAATATGTGTTCGAAGAGTTATTTTTCAATGATAATTGTTTTTGGTGTATATATCATAATCATAATAGATAAACAATACTTTTTAATGATTCTATAACGTCCGAACCCCAATATATTTCACACCTAGGTCAATCTTATATATAAATAACAATCCTATAGATTATTATTTCACTAAAATTATCATTTCGACTAGTATATGAAGTAAGAGTTGTTAGGATTGGTTCAAAGTGAATAAAAATAGTCAACTATCCCTTAAAACAAGTAAAAAGACTTCAAGTTCCTAACAATCAGTTGAAGTGCTAATCCAAATATCTGGTCACTTACAGAACCTACTTAATATTCTAGACTCATGTTTTGAAAAGGTCGGATACCATCAACAACAGACTACTGTGGGAGAGAACAAACAAGCTTCCAGCTGAAGAGGAAATTAGGAAAAGACGATGGGAATCGTTAGGACATACATTATGCAAATCACCAAACCGCATCATGAGACAAGTCCTAACTTACAATCGTGAAAAGAAGTGAAAAAGAGGAAGGCCAAAGAACACATTACGTCGGGAAACAGAAGCATGTATGAAAGAGATGAATAACAATTGTAAAGAGCTGGGAAGGATTGTTTGGGACAGGGTTGGATGGAGAATGCTGGTGGTTGACCTTTGCTCCTTCACGAGAACTAAAGGATGTAAGTAAAAGTAAATGTCTGAAAAAATATAACAACTATCGGTTCCACAATCGAAATTTGATGAAAATGTGTATTCTTTATCTCTTACACCAACAGTTTTTTGGTGTCTGATCGATCATGTAGGTGCCTATTGCTCGATATTTTCATTTTTCTATTATTTTAGAACTAAGTCACTCGCATAAATTCACTTAGTATTGTTTGCTTGTATCTTCCCATTGTTATTTAGGACTTTAATTGATCAATCTCTTGTTGTTATAGGTGTACCCTGTGTGAACTGCCTTGATTTTACCTTAAGTCACAGGCTTAATAAGCAAAGATGGATAGTAGATAGCAGTGGGATGCAGGACACGCGTTTCATTCTATTCGGGACTTGTCAGCTGGATACTTTTAAAGCTAGTGACGAAAGGTAATATCGAGGTAATCTGCACAACTTACACATATGCCAACGAGGAACTGATCAATTGCAGTCCTACACAACAATGGGAAGATTCAATTCAACAATACCAAGTGAATTTAAATTCATCCCATTGTACAAACAAGTGCCTATAAGGGCTCAGTAGTTAAGTGGATAACGCGATGGCATTTGAAACGAACAGTACTGGGTTCGAGTTTCAGAGTGAATACCAACTCTGAGATACAGATACATCTATCTGAAGAGCCCCAAATAGGACAAAACGCGTGTCCTAGATTCCATTTTTATCCACCATCCGTCTTTGCTTATTAAGTCACTCACAGATAGAAAAGCATTCACAATATTAGCTACAATTTCCAGTTAATATTTATCTATGTGACTCTCTCTGATCAGTTTAAACTCGAAGATAATTTTCGTTATAGACCTGCATCAGTTCCTTCATTCCATTATGTAAAGTGGTTGAAGTTGACTGATTGAACTACTAAGTTTAATCCTATATAGAATGAAGTGTCAGTACTAGTGAAGATTGAAAGATCAAAAAAGACAACAACCTACAGCTTCTTGACTTTTACAGCTTTCTCAGAGGATATCAGTTTGTAATGTAAAATTTATATTTATGTTACAATAGTGTATTGAGAAGATGGAGTTATCTGTGTTTATTTGATTGAGTCCTTCTATAAATTCTTTCAAGAAATGAACAATAAACATACTTAAATTCACTTGATATCGCTTACTTAAATCTTCCTATTGATGTTTAGCACTGAAATTGATCAATCTCTTATTCGCATATGGGCATACTGTGAAGATTGCCTCAATATTGCCTTATTTCGAAAACATTATAAGCAAAGATCGATAGTAGCTAGCCGTGGAATCAAGAACTCAGTAGCTAAGTGGATAACACAATGGTGTTTGAAGCAAACAGTACTGCATTCAAGTCTTAGAGTGATCACCAACTCTGAGATGCAGGTACATCTAGCTGATTAGTCCCAAATAGGACGAAACGCGCGTCCTGGATTCCACTGCTAGCCACTATCCATCATTACTTACAAAAAGCTTGTGAATTAAGGCAATATCGAGGCTTACGCACAGTATGCACATATACCAATAACAGACTGATCAACTGTATTCTTAAACCTCAATGAGAAAATACAAGCCAAACAATACCAAGTGAATTTAAATTCACCCCATCGCACAAGCAAGTGGCTATCAGGACTCAGTAGCTAATTGAATAGCACAATGATGTTTGAAGCGAACAGTACTGCATTCAATTCTTAGAGTGATCATCAACTCTAATATGCAAGTACATCTAGCTGATGAGTCCCAAATAGGACGAAGTGACGCGCATCCTAGATTCCACTACTAGTCACTATTCAACCACTATAAACTTTAATAGACACATTAGTTACCTTCAACTAACTAAACATGAAAATTGATTTTTATCGATAGTAAAGGTAGTAAAAGGTTATACATCATAATACAAAAAAAAGAAAATTTTTTTATAATGATTCAAACTACGCCGTAATATGACTTGCATAAAGTTTCTTTAGATAGTTATAATATTTTTATCAGAAGGGGTTTTGTGGAGATTGTAGTAATTTTAATAAATGAATTCATGAGCCAACTGAGGCTAGACCATCATGGATGGCCGATTCGTCCTAGTATGAGTCTCTTCAGTAGTGCGCATCCACGATCTTTCTCGTGGAGTTCAAACCCAGGACCTATTGGTCTCGTGCGCGGATGCTTAACTTCTAGACTATTGAGCCGGCAGTAGTCTAGAAGTTAAAAGAAAAAAAAAAGAAAAAAACTTTTTTTTATAATGATTCATACCTTCTTTACGCATTCCAACTTGTATACATTTTTGAAAACGACAATATTGACATTGATTACGATGATGTATATCAATTGGACATTGTTTATTACTACGACATGTATAATTTAATTGACGTCTTACAGAACGTTTAAAAAAACTTTTACATCCTTCACATGTATGTTGACCATAATGTTTTCCGCTACTTTTATCACCACATACAACACATTCCATGAATTGATTTGATTTTAATTGAATTTCTATATTATAATTATTAAGTTGTTGTTGTTCTTCATTATCATCTTGTTCATCATCTAATTCATAATCTTCATCATCTATAGTTGAGTATCCATCCATTGGTTTTACTTTATTATTATTATGATTATTATTATTCTGAATCAGATCATTGTCAGGATCATGATCAGGATTATTATCATAATCAATATTTGTACATATATCTATTTGGTTTACATTGTTGTCAAGAGTCATTTGTATAGATTTATTATTATGATTATGATTATCGATTATCGATTGTTTGTTCCGTTTTTTTATTGATTTATGATATTTTAAAGATGGATCATATTTATTAAATTGTGAAATAATTTTTGTAGATTTACATGTTTTAACATTAAATTTATCATTTAAATTCATAAATATGTTAGGAGTAGTATCAATTATCGGTATTGTTGAAATGGATGTAGTAGTAGTCGTCATCGTCGTTGTCGTTGTCGTCACCGACGTTGTTGTCGTTGTCGTCGTCGTAGTGGTAGTAGTAGTAGTACTAACATTTTCTTCATTCAAATGCTTTATAAATTTAAGTTTTGATTGATGATTGTATAATGAATTATTATTTTCTTCTTCATTATTATTATTAATCATTGTTAATTGATTGTAATTATCATTAGTTAAAAATACTTTTGTTGGTCTATTCAATTCATAATGATAATTCGATTGTGAATGATAATGATTCTGTGGATCATGAAGATCATGATGACCACGACGACGATGATGATGATAATAATAATAATAATCTAACCATAAAGGATTACAATATGAAGTCAATGGATTCGAAGTAAACTCTTGATTATTATTGAAAGGAAATTCTCGTTTATTGAGTATATTCATATTTGTACTTAAATTCATTGGTAATGGATTAAATGCAGATAGTCTCTTTTTATTTGATAAATTACCTATATTTGCAATAGGATTATGTTGATTTGAATATGTATAAGATGTTGAACAATTAGTTGTATAAACTGATGTGGATATTAATGAGGATAGAGACATTGACGGTGATGATGATGTTGATGATGATGATGATGATGATGATGATGATGATGATGATGATGACGACAAGGAAGAGGAAACTGAAGAAGATAGTGAAGACAATGAATGATTGCAATTTTTTTCTATTCCCCATAAATGTGGAAATAATAAATCCGGTGGTGGAGGTCGTGGAATAAAAATTGGTGAAAAATTACATTTTCTTGATTCATTCGGTGTTGTCATGATGATGTAATCTTTTCAAGAAATATATATGTTTAAATGAGCCATATAATGTTAGTTTTGGATATTATTTGAAATAAAGACTGTTATTAATAAGTTGTCTTTAAATAACCACATATATGCATACTCTCCCTCCCTCCCTCTCTCTCTCTCTCTTCCCACTTGGATTTAATGTATAAAGTTTATTCTACTGGATTGGATCGCGATCTTGGTGATAAAAGACATACAAGGGGTGAATAGGTGATTAATGATAATGATGTTATGATAATCAATGGTATTAGACACATGCATATATATCCAGGCCAGAATAAGTAAGTATTCAAGTAGAGAAAATCACATAGAAATATTATTCTACAATGTATGTCTATATGTATATGTGTATGTGACTGAATATTATCAATATTCATAATGTAATCTATTATGTTTCAGGTTGATATAGTCGAACCCTTTTACTGATTATCTGAATAACATACCGATTAATTAGTTGTGATCTTATTTGATCACCAGTTTATTTTTTGTCTTCTAAAATTACCCCTGGTTTTAAATAAATGCTGAGACTATTATTAGTAGTAATAACAGTAGTGATACTAATAATAGTAATAGTATTATACCGATGTTGCCATCTCAGGAAGGCAATAATATTTAATGGAATCTATCTTATATCATTCCTGCTACAACTAACATTATAAGGAGATTGTTTTCAGTGTTAGTGATGGTGATGATAATGATGATGATGATAATGGTGATTTCAGTAGTTAGCTGGTAAGGGATGAAAAGTAAATGTCAAAGACCATACCAACATTAGAGATGGGAAGTATTATCATTATTATGTTTATTATAAGACTTCCAATCATATTCAAATTAAATGTTACAATGTCTTAACCATAGGGCAATAATAAATGTGAGATAGATAAGGCAGAAATTTCTCTACTGAATATATGTATGTTTGTATGTATATATATGTATATATATATATACATACGTCTCCCTTTCAGTTAATCCTTAACTAATTCTATTTTGGTAACTAAACTAACCAACTAGTCAATCGGTCAACTTAGATAACCACTAAGATTTAACTATGATTTTCCTTATCTTTCATCTTCTTTTTATAGTGAAAGAAATAATAATCATGACATTAAACTATCAAAAGGGGATTCACTTGGTATTGTTTGGCTTGTATTTTCTCATTGAGGTTTAAGAATACAGTTGATCAGTCTGTTATTGGTATATGTGCATACTGTGCGTAAGCCTCGATATTGCCTGAATTCACAAGCTTTTTGTAAGTAATGATGGATAGTGGCTAGCAGTGGAATCCAGGACGCGCGTTTCGTCCTATATGGGACTCGTCAGCTGGACGTACCTGAGTGGATAACGCGATGGTGATTAAAGTGAATGGTACTGCGTTCGAGTCTCAGAGTGAACATCAACTCTCTGAGATGCAGGTACATCCAGATGACGAGTCCCATATAGGACGAAACGCGCGTCCTGGATTCCACTGCTAGCCACCATCCATCATTGCTTATCAAAAGGGGATTTTTAAAAAACAAGCCAATGAATAACTGATTTAATCTTGGTACTCTAATTCTAATGTTGATTACAATAGAATAAAATCAAAAGAAGAATGTTATTGTTACTCATTTATCAAGTTTACATTTAATTATACGACACCTGAATCAAACTAAAATGTGGTATCGATCCATGTAGTGAACGATTTCCATAGTTGATATTGTGAGTCGATTTAAACTAGAACATCACTTAAAACCCAGGATCACTGAACCAGGGTTTTATCCTTGTATAAGATTCAGGATTGTATATCCATGATCCTGCAAGCGGGACTCGAGCCTAGGACCTTCCGTTTTGTGCGAACACTTCACCTCTAAATCATCAAGTCGATATCTGACGGTTTTAATGTTTCACTTCAATCAATATATGGTTTTGCGCGACCGTTTATCCATTACCTAGAGTGGATAAATATCCCATATTCGATACGGATTGAACTCCACTGGTCTAAGTTATGTTGGTTCATACAGACTGCCAGATTGGGATTCTGAAGATAACTGTGATCAGTGGTTAGAAAGTGTACATGATATGTTTCAAAAGTGGGTTACAATGATACAGATGCATTCATTTCGATTGCATTACGTAATATGAACAGTAACTATAAAAATTGTTGATCTGGTTGTTAGAAGGGGTATCGGTCTCGTGGCTTCCTAAGGAACTCGGCTTGCATCATGAAGCGTCATAATTCTTCTAAATGAAGACCTTCTAACTCCCAGGGCAGAGTTTAGATGGTTTGAATTATTTTTTTTTGGTTAGCGTTTTTTTAGAGAGTTAGTTTTCTACGGGATGGGGTCGCTAACCCCATGCCCAACCCTCCTCCTTTACCCAGGCTTGGGACCGGCAGTAACTCTAGAAGAGCTACAGGCGGAATTTTACGTGAAACAATTGTTATTCCATTGACAATCGACGAACAGTACGGAATGATAGCATGGTTTCCCGAGTAATGTTACATCACTGTTTGTGTAAAAATTACTCAATTTTTAATTTGTAAAGACAACTACTACTGAATTATACTGGAAGGTAACTCCATCATTGTTTAATACTTGTGGTAGAGTTGTGCTCCCTATTCTGTATAGTTTACTAATGAAGCTTTTATATTTTTTGCGATAAATTTAGTAGAAACTTCACATAGAAGTGAGCTATTGAAATTCCCCCATATATAATTTATTTGTTCAACCTTGAATTTGATGGGTTGTCTTGTAATTCTGTGTATACATATCTTAGTTTATATCAGTTGGATACTGAACACCTATTGCATCTCATGTTTGAACTCTTTGGCAATGCACAAATATGAGCTGTCCAGTTAACTCGAGTCGATCAGTTATATAAACTATCTTTGATTTAACCAATTTACATAAATGTTATGACTGAACCCTAATATCATTTATATGTTTAGAGTTTTATGATGATGAACTGAAGTAACAGTCAAAGTTACGAACCAACAACAATTAGTTTCATTAATTTTCTCCCTATACTTTCAACAGATAATTAATTTCTATGGTCTAGCTCATGAGTCAATTGAAGCTAGATCACCATGGAAAACCTGGGAGCACTGGACGGCCGTTTCGTCCTGGTATGATAATCCTCAGAAGTGCGCATCCACGACCCTGTCTCACGAAATTCGAACCCAGGACCTAATTAATAGGTTAGTCAAAGTAAACATCCAGCCAACTTCCTCATATGTTTACGATCATGTAGTGGACACAGGTTCGAATTATGTACTACCTGAATCGATTTAAGTAGTCAATTAATGTAACTCAACCTGATATACACATATTTAATGTGTAACTCATATTCGAGTACTAGACTTGACCAATGGAATGCATAATAATGTATTAGACTTCATCATAACGTAATCTTGAAAAATAAGAAGAATATCAGTAGTAATATACTGAACAAGAACACGAGCAGGGACAATCGAATGTATTTGAACACGAAATTACAGAACATCTCATTAAAATTTGAGAACAATACAGTGAATATTTGCAAAATATAAATCCATTGTCTCAGATTTCATTGTTCATGCATTTTCATATCAATTACTTTCCGTTCCCGTTTTTTTCTTTTTGATCTTCTACTGAAATATATTCTATTCCTGACTATCGTTATATACTACTTATGTGTATATCAGTAGCGCACATCACATTAAGACAAAGTTATATTCAGTTGATAGGTTACAAATGGGACAAAACACACTTCTTGCATTCTTCAGCTAGGCGCTATCAAAAAAACGGAAAGGAAGAATGATGGTGTATTTCAATCGTGAAACATTAATTACTTTAATTCCTGTACGGTAGTATCAAAAAATGTTTCAAACCATTATTATGATTATGAATACTACTACCAAAGTAACTATATGTACTGAGGGCATATTTATCTTCTATACCACTATGGAAAATAAACACTCTTTCACGTCATAGACTTGCATAATTTTTAAATTTTATGTGTTAATTATACATTTTAAGAAACTAGTAACTAATCATCTTCAACACTAGTCTCTACTACTTCACTCAGTACAACTGCATAAGCTTCTTATTTTCAACAATATCTATTAATGTTATAAGATAATAGTGGCTAACAGTAGAATGCAAGACGCGGATTTCGTTCTATTTGGAACTCATTGGATGGATGTACCTACATCTCAGAGTTGATAACACACACCGGTACTCGGACCCAATACCGTTCACTTCAAACGTCACCACGTTATCCATTTAACTACTGAGTCCTGAAAGGTAACTGCTTGTGCGATGGGGCGAAGTTTCCAAATCAATTGATGTTATTTGCTTGTATCTTCCTATTGTTATTTAGAACTGTAATTGATCAGTGTCTTATTGGCATATATGCATACTGTGCATATTGCTTCGATATTGCCTTCATTCACAAGCATTATAAACAAAGATGAATAGTGGCTAGCAATAAAATCCAGGACAAATGTTTCGTCCTATTTACGATTCATCAGCTAAATGTACTTACATCTCAAAGTCGATATCACACTTTCAGACTCGAACCCAATACTACTGTTCACTTCAAAACACCATCACATTATCCATTTAACTACTAAATCTTAATAACCACTTACTTATACAATAAGATAAAGTTTAATTTCACTTCTATCTTTATATAAAAATAACCTAAGGCTATCTAAGTATTCATCTTTTACTTATAAGTTCATTGATACTTGTTCAATTTTCAATTCTTATTCAATAAAACAGAACAATATAGTAATTAATTAGATAGTCTTTTTTGTTTCTAATATAAAGTAAACATCATTATCATCATCAAAGTAATAAAAAGAAAAGAAAAGAAAAGAAAAGAAAAAAAGAAAGAAAATTGTCAATAAATTGATAACAAATAAATAAATATACAAAAATTAAATTAAATCAGTACAATCTTATAGTTAGATGTATATTCTATTCATTCAATGTGTTCAATATACATGTTAT